CAATTTCAGAAGGAATGACTGGATAGAACTTTAGCTGAGAGATATGAAAAGTAGGGTGAATTTGGACTTCAGGTGGGAGCAGTAATTTATAGGCAACTGTGCCAATCCTCTCAACAATAGGATAAGGACCAAAATAACGAGAATTAAGCTTATGATAGGGAGAAACAGAAAGAGCGGACTGCCTATAGGGCTGAAGCTTCACAAAGACCCAATCACCAACTTCAAAATGCCTGTTAGTGCGATGAGCATTAGCTTAAACTTACATACGCTGTTGAGCTCGTGTCAAATGATATTTGGCAAGTTGCCATTTGAATTCCCTTAGCAGCATAATGTTCTCAATGTCCTCAGAAGAAGAGTCACCAGGATGATAAGGAAGGTGAAGAGGAGGAGGATAACCATAGAGCAGTTCATAGGGTGAAGTCTGAATTGCAGAATGGTGTGAGGAATTATACCACCATTCAGCTATAGGCAAGAATGCACACCAATTAGCTGGTGAATCAGAATAAAAGCAGCAGAGATAAGTCTCCAAACATCTGTTAAGAACCTTAGTTTGGCCATCAGTTTGAGGGTGGTAAGCTGTGGAGGTCTGCAAATGGACACCTTGGGCAGAGAGGAACTCTTTCCAAAATGTGCTGATAAAAATAGGGTCACGATCACTGGTTATCAAAGCAGGGAAACCATGTAACTTGAAGATATGGTCCAGGAAGATAGGTACAAGAGATTGGATAGTGTAAGGATGAGCAAGAGCAATGAAATGACCATACTCGGTCAATTTATCAACTATGACCCAAATTACTGTTTTTCCCTTCGACTCAAGTAAGCCTTTAATAAAATCCATATTGATATCTGTCCAGGGAACTGTCGGAAGAGGCAAGGGTTGCAATAAACCACCAGATGCAGAAGTATCATATTCGTTTCTTTGGCACATGGTACAATTGCGCACATAGTTAAGGATATCATTTCCGATACCCTTCCAATAAAAGTAAGCCAATAATATCCTAGTGGTCGCATCAATGCCAGAGTGACCCCCTGAGGGGGATGAATGCCACAGCTGCAAGATCTTAGTCTTTAAGCCCAAGTCATTACCAATTACCAGTTTCTCTTTTCTCCTGAGCTGATTGTTGAGCCAAGTGAAATGCTTCTGTGGCTTCTCTTGAAGGGATTTGATAAGACTATGCAGTTCAGGGTCATTGAATCAACTATTCTGAATATCAACCCAAAGATCTGCTTGCACTGAAGAGACCATTAAGGTCATAATCTCAGCACCTGAAATTCGAGCTAAGGAATCATCAGCACATTCTCTTTACCCTTATTGTATTGGATTTCAAAATCAAAGGGTAACAATTTAGCTAGCCACCTAATTTGTAGATCAGTATGCAACTTCTGGTCCAAGAGATAATTGTGAGCTTTTTGGTCAGTCTTCACAATAAAATGTTGGCCTAAAAGATAATGAGACCACTTGGTAATTACAAAAACCAAGGTTAGCAACTCCTTTTCATACACAGAAAGAGCCATATGCCTAGGAGCTAAACCTTTACTAATGAAAGCTATAGGATGTCCAGTTTGCATCAGAACAACCCCTATACCAGTGCCACTAGCATCTGTTTCAACTATAAAGGAGAGAGCATAGTTAGGTAATGCTAGAACAGGAGCAGAAGTAAGGGCTGACTTTAATTCTGCAAATGCCTCTGCTGCTTTATCAGTCCACCAAAAACCATCCTTCTTGAGCAATTCAGTTAGTGGTCTTCTTATAAGACCATAACCTCTAATGAACTTCCTGTAATAGCCAGTTAGTCCCAAGAAGCCCCTCAGTTGCTTAAGTGTAGTGGGAGTGGGCCATTGTTGAACTGCTTCAATTTTCCTTGGATAAGTAGAAACACCCTCAGCAGAAATAAAATATCCTAAGTATTCCACCCTTGAGACTCCAAAGGCACACTTAGACTGTTTAGCTAATAAGCTGTGAGTAACCATAGTATCAAACACATGATGCACGTGTCCCACATGATCTTTCAAGGTAACATTGTAAATTAAAATATCATCAAAAAAAAAACAAGACAAACTTCCTTATGAATTTCTGAAACAAATGATTCATAAGACACTGAAATGTGGAAGGAGCATTAGTTAAGCCAAAAGGTATTACTAAATACTCATAATGCCTTGAATGTGTTTTGAAATATGTTTTAGGAACATCCTCACTCACCATTCTAATTTGGTGTTATCCAGATCTGAGATCAATTTTTGAAAAAATAGTAGCTCCAGCAAGCTCATCTAATAAGTCATCTATAAGGGGTATTGGGAATTTATCCTTAATTATGCAGTGATTCAGTTCATTGTAGTCTACACATAGCCTCCATGATCCATCCTTCTTTCCCACAAGGACCACAGGAAAAGAGAAGGGACTGTTACTATACTAAATCACTCCCTGCAGCAGCATTTCATTAACCAGCTTTTCAACAATGTCCTTCTTAATGGAAGAATACCTGTAAGGTCTAACATTCACAGATTTAGAGCCAGGTTGTAGAGGTATTCTGTGGTCAAAATCTCCCCTTTGAGGAGGGAGAGAAGTAGGTTCAGCAAAGATCAACTGATATTGTTGTAACAGTTGATCAATAGGAAGAGCACTATCAGACTTGGCCATGTGCAAAGCTTGATATTGCATAGCAGTGATTGAGCTAGGAATGTTGTCTATCACTTGTAATATAAAAAATTGTATGTCCTCCCCTTTTAACATGTTCAAGGCCTTTGGACTGGAAACCTTACATTCATCAGACACCCCTCTTAGCAATTGAGACTTCCCTTGATAGTTGAAAGCCATAATCAGCTCAGAGGAGTCCATGGTAATGGGACCTAGTGTTTTCATCCATAAAGCCCCTAAAACCAAATCATATTTACCAACTGGGAAAACAATCAAGTCAGATGAGAAGGTAGTGCCCTCCAGGATCCACTCAAAATTCCTAACAACTCCAGAAGTGGCTTCTAGGGTGTTGTTACCAAGGCTCACATAGCTCACTCTCGTAGGACAGATTTGGCACCCCAACCTCTTAGCAGCCTTCTCATCAATAAAGTTTTGAGTGCTACCTCCATCAAGTAAGATCTGTATAGGTCTCTTCTCACTATATCCTATAATATGTATTGTCTGAGCTCCTTGTAATCCACTTAGAGCACATAGAGATATCATAGGAGTATCCACTTCCACAATTGACCACTCTTCACTAGAAGGAATCCTTTTAGATTCCTATCAACAACCTCCAAACACTCATTTTCTGGGACTTCCAGATCCATCACAAATAGTTGCTTAGGTAAGTTACATTTATGACTAGCAGTATACTTCTCATCACAAAAGTAGCATAAGCCATGTGCCCTTCTAGCCTGCATTTCTGCAGGAGAAATAGTTCTCCTATTTCTAGGAACATTGACATTAGTGGAAGGGGGTGAGGCTAATCTCGGAGCAAAGGTAATAGGATTAGGAGTGTGTTTGAGGGAGTTTGGATCATAGGAAGGCTTTTTGAGGTGAGTATTTGACACAGAGATAAGACTGCATTTTAAGGCTCTAGCATTAGTAGCTAATGTTGCTTCAGCTAATCTAGCTAAGCGATAGGTTTTGGACAAGGTCTGAGGCTCATGCATTTTGACAGGATTCACTAGTTCTTCCTTCAATTCTCCTAAAAACAAGAGATAGCTTGACTAATAGTTAGATCACATTGAGCTAGTAATCTGGCAAAAGCGAATTGCAACTCCTTCACTGAACCAGTTTGTTTCAACTGTTTCAATTCTAGCATAGGGTCCGTATATTCCTCACTAAGTGTTTCAATTAAGGCTTCGATATATTCATCCCAAGATGGAAGGATAGGAGAATCTCTACATTTCAAATAAGACTGATGCCAAGCTAGAGCATCATCATCCAAATTCATTGATACTATACTCACCTTCTAATTTGTAGCATTATTATCAACAACAAAATATTGATCTATTCTATACAACCAACTTTTCAAGTTTTTCCTGTTGAATCTAGGAAATAACAGATTGTGACCTCGATTATTGTAAGCATGATAAGAATTAGGCCCTAAAATTCTCTGACCTGATTGTAGTACATTATCTCGACCCTTGGAAGTAGAACTGTTGTTTCGTGATTGTTGATGTAACTGCATTCCATCAATCGAGTTTTTGAGAGCTTCCACCATTTGTAGCATTTCAGCATGTCTATGATCCATGTTAGCTCATATTTCCTCTATTTTCTGATCGAGAATAGAACGCAGATCTAACTGCTGAGCAGTTAAATCTTCATATTGCTCCTGCCAATCCAGATTTGAGAGATCAACAGCTTTGCGTGGTCCCATAGTCTAGCTCTGATACCAATTGATACCAAAATTGATATCTAATCGACAATTGAGCAGAGAATTAAGAAGAGAAAGCAGAAGAAGAAGAAGAGAAGAAAGTGAGAAATGAGGAATGAGAAGAAGGCAGAAGAGACTAGAACAGTTAGAGGGAAATTCTAATTTTCATTAACATATCAAAAGTATCTAATAGGAGTTTACAACTTGCTATTTATACTCCAAGCAACCTATTACAAAATGTAAAGTAGAATTCAAAATGTAAAATGTGCTGAAATACAAGTAACTAACTTTCCCGCCAAAGCTAGAATTCAAATTTTAACTAACATAACTATCTTAACTACTATTCAAATAACCCTACTCAGCAGCTGATGTGGCCTCCTCTGGATTATGTGTATCACATATTACCTCTCTTATAATCCTATATCTCAGCATTATCTCTCTCATCTACAACTGGATATGGTCAATAGAAGAGTCCAAAGAGCTTTTGAATTTTTGATTCTCTATGACAGAGATTTTCAGTGTGCAAACAGATCTTTTGGAGTCAAGACACCAGCTCATTAAGTCCTCCTAATGTTCAAATTTTAAATGGTTGACTCGATTTTGAAATCCCTCTCAAACTTTCATCCAAAAATTCTAGACCTTTCCCCTATAAATATTATTGTTTTCTACAAGTAAAGGGGGATTCTTCAGTTGCCTCTTATCCATTTTTATATACTTTAGCCGCCTCTACTTCCCCTAAAACATTAACTCTTAGTCGTTCTTTCACTTTAAAGGGACGACTTTCGCATATGAGTTGTTCGAGTCCACATCTCATTCGTGAAGAAGAGATAGATCCGAGGCCGAAGCTCCGGATTTACTGCCCCGCAAACAGTCAGTTACTCCCAAACTCAAGCCCTTTCTTTCTTTACTGGTAGTATGTGACGTGCAATGGTTCACTCTGTTAATTAGAAGCCAGAAGTTAAAATTTTCCCTGTGTAGAAATTATGCCATTAGGATTTAATTTTCTGGCCGTATGTTAAAAATCTTGATTGATGAATGTTTGACAAAATGTTTATAGGAATACATAAGGTTTCATTTTGTGATGTCGATTCGTGAATCTGGAGATCATGTTTAGGTTCCTTATGATTGGCGGCATTGCCGTTTGTGCATTGTTTGATTGAGAACATATATGAAGATGTCCTGATTCTTGACCGTCAACTTGAAGTTTTGTTTAGAATTCTCTTTAAGTTCACATTCCTTGGTCTCTTTCTGTGGCATCATATGAATATTACACATTCTCTACTTGAAACTATATTCGAAGATAATAATACTAATCTTTGAGGAGTTTAACCGTTGCATACTTGAGTTACCTTGTTGAGATGTTGTTGTGCTTTCAAATAGTAGAAAAGATGGTTTTAAGAATGACTAGATACCATGTTCTTTTAGGATTCAATAACTAAAGAGGTAAATAATTCTATATGTTCATGTTACTTTAAAAGAACTTTGTGTACCATATAGAGCTCAACTTGCCCGGGATAACAAACATATATATATAAATAAATAAATATCATTCTGTTAAATGGATATTGTAGTGAGGTTGTTTGTCCCAAATTCAACATTTCACTTAAGAATCTGTCATTTTATTTCAAGTATAACATCGGATACATGTTTAAGTGTCACGAACATTCTGTTAAATTGATATTGTAGTGAGGTTGTTTGTCCCAAATTCAGCATTTCACTTAAGAATCTGTCATTTCATTTCAAGTATAACATCTGATACAGGTTTGTGTCACGACCCCAAATGCCCCGGTCGTGATGGCGCCTATCACAGTACTAGACAAGCCAACCGAATATTTACCACAACAAAATCTTTTATAAAAAAATCATTTTCTAGTATCGAATAATTCTCAAATTCGTCATATGAAATAGATGAGTAAAACAGAACATGCGGAAAAACCAGTACAGAATACCAACACAGCCCAACAATCCGGTGTCACAAGTCGAGAGCCTCTAAATAAAACCCAAACTGACTGAATAATACATCATAAGTCTGAAATAGCAGAAAAACTAAGATAAGATGGAGGAAAGCAGGGTTGCGAATGCCGTGCAGCTACCTTGCAGTCTCCGGTAATGCTCTGAGAGTGCTGGGAACCCTCACTCTGTTGCGCGGGCACCTGAATCTGCACACAAGGTGCAGGGAGTAAAGTGAGTACGCCAACTCAGTAAGTAACTAAAGTAAATAAAGTCTGAGTGCAGTGACGAGCAGTTTAAAATCATATAAGAGTGTTCAACAGAATATCAAGTCAAATTCAACAGTTTAATAGCCAGTTACTTCGTAAAAATTTCAGTTTCAATTGAAATACTTTGAAATCATTTATTCAACATCTTTCAACAGAGACTCAGTATAAAAGAAGAGTGAAACAGCAAAATGTCATAAACGGGCCCCTCGGGCAAGGTATCACTCACAATATAGCCTCTCGGGCAAGCCTCTCAGTCACTCGTGATTCAACACTCAGTCACATCTTACTCACACTCAGCACTCCGGCTCAATAATATCTTATAATAATATTAATTATAATAACCGTTGCGGCGTACATCCCGATCCATAGTTTATAGTCGACTACGCTCACTGGGGGTGTACAGACTCCGGAGGGGCTCCTACAGCTCAAGCATCATATCGTTGCGGCGCGCAGCCCGACCCAATATATATAGCTGCGGCGTGCAGCCCGATCCATATGTATATCGTTGCGCCGTGCAGCCCGATCCATGTATATATAATTTCGTTGCGGCGTGTAGCCCAATCCACAATAGACATATAATCCTCACCATTAGGTCCTAAACCTCTCTCAGTCATTAACCTCACGGCCACTCGGGCGTAACGGTAAAATCAGGGAACTCCGCCCAAACATTTTCATATATAGAAATAGAGTGATAAAATCAGTTTTAAACAAATAACAGGTAAAACATGACTGAGGATATGCTTTCAAATCAAACAGAGTGAGGAAAAAGTAAAAATACCCCTAAGGGTCTAAAAAGGTCGGCACAAGGCCCCAAACATGGCGTACAACCCAAAATATAGTATCAATCTCTAAAATATGGAATACCATAAGATTTCAAATCAAATACGCGGCTTAATAGCTGCTACGGGACGGACCAAGTCACAAATCCCTACCATTGCACGCCCACGCGCTCGTCACCTACCATGTGTGCCACCTTATTTATCAAAATGATACGAAATACCGGAGCTTCATACTCTTAGGTCCAGATTTACAATGGTTACTTACCTCAAACCGGACGAAATACTACTTCGTGACGCCCCTGCCTCTCGACTTGGCCTCAACTCGCGTCGAATCTATCCAAAAATCAGAATCATGACGTCAAAATATGCTAAGGGAACGAAACTTATGCAAAAATAATCAAATTACAACACAAATCCCGAAATTGACCAAACCCGACCCCTGGGTCCACATCTCGGAATCCGACAAAATTTACATCAATAGAATCCTTATTACCCCACGAGTTCATTCATACTAAAAGTACCAAAATCCGACCACAAATGACCCCTCAAATCCCTAATTTTAGGCCTCATGTTTTCCAAGCCCTAACCCCCAATTAGCTACTAATTTTCCCATGGATTTCAAGCTTACAACCTTAAAAATCATCATAAAAACGAGTTTAGGGACCAAAGACCTTACCTCTAAGAAACCCTCTTGAATCCTCCCTTGAATTTGCTCCCCAAAGCTTCTTCCCGTTTGAAATGTTATGAAAAATAACCCAAATTCGCGAAGGAAACCTCTTATACTTTCTGACCCAGACTTTTCGCACCTGCGGTCCATACACCGCACATGCGGTACCACATCTGCGGCCAAAGCACCACATCTGCGGTTTTCACTTAAAACCAAAATTCCGCACCTGCGTCTCACCATCCGCACCTGCGGTCTCGCAGGTGCGACCAATCATCCGCACTTGCGCTTCAGCCCTTCACGCCAACGTCCGCATATGCGGCTAGCCTTCCGCTTCAGCGGTCCCGCACCTGTGGTCCCCAAGCCGCAGATGCGGTTATGACAGTGGTTCAGCAGCTTCAACTGCAAATCTCACACGCCAAATCTCTCGTCAACCATCCGAAATCACCCCGAGGCCCCCGGGACCTCAACCAAAAGTATGAACAAGTCACATACCGCCATCCAAACTTATACCAATCTTCGAAACACCTAAAACAACATCGAAACAACCAATCAACCATGGATTCAAGCTTAAGAACTCCAAAACTTTTGAATTCTGCATTTGATCAAAAAGTCTCTCATACTTCGCCCGAATGACCTGAAATTTTGCACACACGTCACAATTGACATGACGGACCTACTCCAACTTCCGGAATTCTATTCCGACCCCTATATCAAAATGTCACCTATCAACCGGAAAACGTCAAAATTCCAATTTCGCCAATTCAAGCCTAAATCTGTTCCGGACCTCCAAAACACATTCCGATCTCGCTCCTAGTCCCAAATCACCTCCCGAAGCTATTCGAACCATCGAAATTCACATCCGAAACCTATTTCACATAAGTCAACATCCGGTTGACTTTTCCAACTTAAGCTTACCCAAAAAGGACTAAGTGTCTCAAACCTTTCCAAAACCATTCCGAACTCGAACCAACCAACCCGGCACCATATAACACAGATGAACAAAGCATAAAGAAGCAGAAATGAGGAAAACAGAGCGAGGGCCGGTCGTTTTGTTAAGCCCCTCTCTATTATGGATGGTGAAGATTCTTCAGTTTATAAATGACGCAAAGCTGAACATGATGTTTCTTTCTTTATTTTGTGTCAAGAATCAAATTCTCCTTTCTAATTTCCTTTATTTCTTTCTTTGTTTTGCATAAACACACCAGAGCTGCGAGGAGTCTCTTTGTAGACTCAATGTTGCTGCCCGGCCCGATACCAGCATCTCGCCTTCATTCTTCCTCACGCCGCTCTCTCGCCCTCTCAAAATGCATCCGAACAGAAAATTGAAAGAGAGCGAGGGAATAGTGACATCATGTTATGCTTTACTACAATTTCCTTGCAATTCCTTTCTTGTGAATTTTATATCTGACACTTACTTGGTTGGAGTTATGTGCATGGTGAAGTTTATAGTTATTTTATTAGTTCTAACTTAGTTAAAATTCAGCCTTCCTTGGACAGGTAGAACTTGACGCTCACTGATAACGATTTTCTTTTAGATTGGGGTATACTTGAGGCCTTGGCTATTTTTTTTAAAAAAAAAAAATAAGTCAAAGACAAGTTCTTTACAAAAAGAAAATATATCAAATTATCTTTAGTACCTTTGCTAAAAAAAATGATGCTTTTCATATCAAGTTTCGTGGCTTTCACATATAGAGCCCGTTTGGCTTAGCTGATTTAGAGTAGCTGAAAAGCACTTTTAAGTGCTGAAGCTAATTTAAAAAATAAGCAGTTACGTGTTTGGATAAAAGTGTTGAAATTAATAATAAGCAGCTGAAGAATTGGGTGTACGAAGAGTTTTGTTTTAAAAAGAAGTACTTTAGGGATAAAATAGTAAATATTTTGGTCAAATCTAAAGTGCTTATAAGCTGAAATTTGATAAGTTGGGGGAGACCAACTTTTGGCTTATTTTTGGCTTATAAGCACTTTTAATTTTATCAAACGCGTAGATAAGCCAAAAAATGCTTATAAGCACTTTTAATTTTACCAAACGCGTAGATAAGCCAAAAAATGCTTATAAGCTAGATTAGCCAAACACCCTCATAGTCTCAAATGTTATTTTGAATTTACCGAGTCCACAAAATTATTGCTTCTTAATTAATCACCTAGTTTAATCATGATCAATCTACTCACTTAACAATTTTTTCTAAGCTATTATATTTCATCTTAACATTTGCACTTGGCCTTAATAATTGAAGTTCGGTTGGTAACCGTCTTAATAAGGTATCTTAAAGGGTGCCTTAAAAACATTCTCTTTAGATTAATTGAACTCTTACCTAAAATATTTAGGTTAAGTAGACCATTAACAAAGTTATACTTTATTATATTACTACAATCAATTTAGGTGCCCTAATTCAACTTAGAATTAATTAGATGGGTACTCTTTAACTTTAATCAAATTCGGAATTGCCTATATGTTGCACCGTACTTTAACAACATGATTAGAAAATTCTGTTCATGAAATCTTGAGTAATATGCTATTAGTTTCGGTGAAGTAATATCATGCTAAGCTCAAAACATTAGTCTAGATATCATGTCTCTGTGCTTTTCTATTGATTTCTGGAATTCCTCAATTTTTGAAAACTGTTCAACATGTTTAGGATATGTGATGCGTCTCCACAATGACATTCTTGATTCTTTCACTAGAAGGCAAGATCTTAAGAGAAAATCATGTTTGACTGTTAAGGATGGCTATGAAATATAGAACAAATATACAAATATACTCTGTTATGAGTTAGAAAACATGCCTATAAGACTTTTAAATACCTCGCATGAAACAAATTTTAGTTAACAGATCACTACAAAAAAGAAGGCATTTGCCAACAGTTTTTTTTTTGTTGCCATATGTTAGATGTGACTTATGGAGACATTCCACAACAAAAATTATTCTTGCGATAAATCAAATTCTTTGCCAACAATATTACTGTTGCCAAAACTTGGCAGAAGAGTTGGTTACCTTTACGTTTTAGCAGCAACTTTTGAATGTTGTTACGTACATAAATAACATTTCCTTTTAGAGGTCTTGTTAGCATATAATAGCCTAATTCCATGCTTAATGTTATAATAGACATGAGTTTGAAACTCTATCCTTTGTGATAATGTGTATGTTTGGCTCTCATAGATAACGACATATGTTTTGTGTGTAAAAGATCCAGTGTTAGCTCTACCGTTCACATGTTCCTTTTTTGTTTTTTTACTTTTTACAGTCAAATGGAAGATTTTGGAGAAACTATTTGTCAAGTTGTAAGTTTTTTTTTTTTTTTTCTTTTTTTGGTTCATCTATGATTTATTAGACTTGAACCAAAAAAAATCATAGATATATCAAGTCTAATAAACTGGTTGAAATTTAAAATAAAAAAATAAAAAATCTTACATCTTGACAAATAATTTCTCAAGAATTGGAGGCCCTTTTATGTTGTCCTCGTGTGTTTTTCCATGAGATAATTGGAGGCGTTTTGTTCTTCGAAGTATAGGTGTCTAACGGGTGGGCCGGGCCAGGCTGGGTAGGGAAAATTAGTAACCGTACGGGTTGTGGTCCGAGCCGGTTACGGGTTGGGGCTTACCGGGTTTAACGGGTTCGGGTTCATCCGGGTAAAAAAATGAACCGTAAGGGTTACGGGAACAAGGGGACAGGACGGGCCGGGTTAGTGTTTTTTTTATTTTTTTTTGTATTTTGTATAACTATTGTAATTTATATTAATATAAAGTAAAAATATAAAGAATACAATGTAGATGGAAAAAAATTGCACTTATAAATTGCAAGTTCTACATTTATTTCAAAATTCAAACTTACAAATTGAAAGGTTTACATTTAACAACAAGTAAATTAACGAAAAAAGAGTAAATTCAAAGGTTTTGCATTGTCTTAGACTCTAAAACCTTAAAAAATAAATAAAATAAAAATGAAATATAGCTTTTAAACCGGGCCGGGCCGGTTAACCGGTTCGATAGTAATTTACGTTGACTAGGTTTGACCGGTCCGGTTAACCGGTTGACAAAATGTGAACAGACCAAACCTCCTACTCCTTTAACCCAGCCCCACCCGGCCCCCTTGTACCGGTCCGGGCCAGTTCCGATTTTAACCGGTCTGAGCCGGTCCGAAAACGGGCTGACCTTGCCCGTTAGACACCCATACTTCAAAGTGAAATTTCACTAATAGAGCTTATATAATACCCGGCCTTATGAAGATAGTAGTAATGCGTGCTTCGATTATGTGGCAACCGACATATATTTGGACCAATGTTGACGTGTGGACTCAGGCCTTAGAATCCATGACCCTCGTCCTTCACCATATTGAGGCATCATTTGTCATTTTTAGAATTGTTGATTTCCACTGATATGATACTCTCATCAATCAGATACCTCAATCACTTAAGGAGTTGCTGAATACAGTAGGAGTTTGAACTTGAGATTGTTAAGTTGAGCAGGTTTTAGTAGATAACTAGAACTAGAGACATTGTTCTATGTGATAGCCAACATGAGCACTGTAGATGAAGATAGAGTAGATTGGAGCCTCATACTCCTTTTGCCATGAAATATGCTGGAAACTCACCTTAAGTGACTTCCGTTGATACAGGTGCTACTGTATTTTGCATGATGAAAATCATGGGGAGGTAGAGGAAGCTGTATGGGGAGAAGTAGAGGAAGCTGTATGGGGAGATCTCAACAGTTATACAGGCTCCTGTTGAACTTTCTTTTTGTTCTTTTTAATTTAGTCTATCGCCCCTGGTAAAATTTCTATTGCTGTATGTTGAATAAGTCCCAGTCGCTTGTACACACATTTGTTTGAATTTATTTGTTGATTTTATTCATCTTAACTTCTGATCATATCGTTAACATTTTAATAAAATTTATCTTGTACGATAAAACTTGAAACAGTTATTGTGTTGTCAGTACTCCAGTGGAAAACCCATCTATTTTCGTTGTTTCCTGATTTTAGTAATTTTACCACTTTCCTTTAAGCTAAAGCCACAGAGATCATGTCTTACCTGAGTTTGTTCTGATGTTCTTCTATACGTTTGGCATGCATATAATTGAACATTGTCGTTCTCGGAAATATTTAGAAATTCAACATAATATTAGACAAAGAAATTGAGTTCACGTCTTATGTTTCCTGCAAACGGAATATTGTTGAAAAATCGTTGTATGGGACAGATTCAGTACGACAACAATGTTGTCTTGGTATATTCAATAGATACAATGAACGCTATGTTATAAAGATCAGACATTTCAACACTAAATCTCTACATTACCCAAAAAAAATGTTAAAACATCTAATTCCAAATTCAGACAATTCACAGTTCGATGCGCCTTTTGAGCTTTTAAAAACTAGAAAATAAATATGACCTTTTAACAGTTGACTTAGACAGATTAAAATATAATGCAAATCTAGAGAAAATTGTTGAACGTTCTTGCCAACGCCAATTTATAGTACATACCTTTAACACTACTTGAGTTAGACCAGCTTAACTTTCATGTTGTCAATATTATGCAAATTCAGAGAAAATTATTGAATTCTTGCCAACACCAATTTATAGTACTATTATTTCGTTTTAGAGATTGCTTTACTCCATATATTTCAGTTCCAGAAGTCACTGTTTTTCTGAAACCTTCTCTTTTTGCTCATCTACGACATATTACTCGTTACTGCTTCTGATATTTTTCGTTTATTGTACTCCTTATCTTGTGTCGAGAAAAAGAAAGAGCAACTCGATGCACGAAGCATCTTGTGTTCACGCAGGGTTTGGGGAAGGGCCGCACCTCAAGGAGTGTGAGAACTACCTAAGGTTTCAAAAGTGGTAGACACTCCTTACCAAGTCAAAAATATAAACTATCAGCAAATTATAGGGTGAACTCTGAGAGTCAATTCTGGAAAATACAGCACATTACACGTTCACCTGTAATTATATTTTTGTGTACTTACATCACAATTGACCAACAAAATCATCACTATTTTCAATTATATCTTCAATATCAGCTTCATCTAATTCATCGAGTTCCATACTGCCCCAAAAGGAATTTGTTCCACCCTTTGATAGACAAGGGGAATAGTAGGAACTTCACGAATCATGAAATCTTAAGAGTTAGGTCTTACTTCAGCGCATTCTTTGGGGAGAACCAGACGACCAATTCGACCAGCATCACTAGCACTTAGGACCTTCTCGAACAGTGGAACTACAGTGGACTTCAAGCTTAAAATGCAATCGAAGCAAACATAATTGATACCAAGCTAGAGAAGTGATAGAAAAAAATCCTTAAGTAATGCTTGCTAATCTTATTATGATTAACAGGCTGATGAACAACTCAAAAGTAGGCAATAGTAACAATGAGCAGTAAGTACAAGGATACTCTCCAGATAATTGATGCAACTCTTGGTCTGTAATCCTAGGCCAGTAATTGATTGCGGCCTCCTCGCCCTTCTGTATGCATAAACTTTAATTCATACCAGGATCTTGAACATGATAATCTTACATATAATCGTTATAGAAAACATACCTGAAGCGGAATCCATTATCGTGAAGCGGAAGCGTTGATTGAAATAGGTTTCTCGCCCCTTACCCTAGCTTTATGTTACCGCCGACTTTAGTGATGGAAGAAAGAAAATAAAAAAATACGGTAACCCTAATGGGTGGGGAGAGGACCAATTTATAGAGGTTCTCACTTAATCTGGTACGTCCATCAAGTAACCAATCGAACAGATGAGATTTGATAATTAATTAAATATTAATTATGTGCCTTAACCTATTGGGCCACACATACATAGGAAAATAACTTACATTCTCCCACTTGGCCCAATAATCACATAATATTAACTTTTAATATAGGAACATTAGTTGCGCATAAACAAATCTCTTTTATAATGTCCATCATAAATACCATAATACGATAAACTACTAAATGTGAGTTATGGCGGTCATATATAATTCATCTAAATACTCCCTTCCATATACTACAACATTAGCAACTCATTGTATCAGGTCCATAAGCTATAAAATATTATGGTCCACAATAATGTCTCATTCAGACTTATCCTGTAATATCTCAAAACAATAATGTGTACACCATTATGAGAAACGGGAGATCATTAATGTATATCAAAAACATATAAATGAGCTCAGAGTGTCAAAACATCATAAATACATCAATCATAAATACAGCCAAGACCTATTCTATGTACATGTTCTTTAAATATCTTCGGCTGTAAACCTTTCGTTAACGGATCTGCAATCATGAGATCAGTTCTAATATGCTCAAGTGACACTCTTTGTTTCTGAACTTCCTCCTTGACGGTAAAGTACTTTAATTCCATATGTTTGGCACCTTTGGAGTACTTATCGTTCTTGGAGAAGAATACTGCTGCAGAATTATCACAGTAAATTTTCAGCGGCTTGGTAATGGTGTCGACAAC